TTAATATGTTATTAAGTTAATTTACTTAGCTAATTTATAATAGTCGTTGTGAGTCGCTGCGTGCTTCGTTCGTTGATGATGACACGTAATAAACTTTTTTTTTTCTTATTACGGATAATAAGATAATGAATATTTATATCGACGTAAGAACTCTTCGTTTCTGAACTTCCACAAGATTCTGTGGAATAACGTATCCATTTATATTTAACACTAAACGTACCAAGCGGAGCCAAATGACCCCTTTTCAAAATTTACTTTAAAATCGTACATTCGTTGTTATTTCTTTCGCCAATCTGACTTCTTGTAAATTCTTACATTATCTGATTATTCAGTTTCTCGTTTTCTGTTTTCTCTTTGGCTTTTTTTTTTACCGAGAAAAATTCTTTGCATACCTTATGTACCGCGAGGGGTCATTTGGTCATCACCCTTATGGTAAGATAGGTACATGTAAAATGCCGGTACGTTTAGTGTTGATATATTGTTGATACAATTTGCACCAAGTTCGTACATTTTGTTTATTAAAGTTTCTTTCAATTACAATCGCAAAAAGTAATCTGCGATTAGTTGCGAGCGTATTATATTATCAGTATTCAGTGAACGTTTTCAGCGTCGAACGTACTCCTTTCTGCTTCTACATTTTCAATTTATAATGTCAACACTTCGAAACGATATAATTTCACAGTACTGATTTTGCCTATAAATATGATTGCCAGAGTGGTTTTAAAATTGGTTTCCTATCATGGACATATCAATTGATCAATTAACGATGAATTAAATGTTAACTATTAGTTGAAAACATATTGTAGAAAAACAGTTGTGCGATATAATAAGCTTTCGTGTATCGTGAAACGAGAATGCTAGCTAAACAAACTTGTTTTGGCATTTGTTAAGTCAAACGAAAATCAACAATCGTCGACGTACAATCTTGAAGAGGTACACACATTGGTGAAGAAGAAGTCGTCATTTCTCGCTTCCATTCTTGTACAAAAAGATTGCACAAATTATCGAAAGGATAATGCATCGATCGAATATTTCGATTTTATACTCGAACATATACATTCACACGTAGCAGTAACGTAAATTGCTATTTTCTTTTTTTTTTTCGTTCGTTCTCTCGTCGCTACGTAATGATGATTAATGTAAAATGTGTCGAGATTTAAATGTTCGAGGCAAAGCAGCCGACACTTTGAAAAATCGTTTCCATTCGTTGTATCGAATTCCTCTGGAATTTCCGTTAGTACCGCGAAATTGCAAATCTGTAATTGTATTATATTCTATTTCTATTTCTATTTCAGCGTCGAAAATTATTATCTGTTACGCTATTATTATCTGTTATTATCCGCTTTCGATTCGGTGATAGTTCATTTCCTAGTTGTACGCAGTTCTCAATGTCCGGTAAGAAGGAAGTTGTAGTATAGTTAGCACACTGGCGACAAAAATCCGATGAAACATTGTTGAAACTGTAAAGGTGGATAATCGTGTACGTTGGACACGTGATCGCGAAGAATGTTAACAGTGAATGATAAGAGTTTCGTTGCCGACATCGTTCTAAACTTTTAACTATTTGTCTATCGATTGTTCGATAGACGTTAATACCAAATACTTATTGTAAGTTAAGGGTAAATATACCTAAGTCCGAGGTGCAGAAAAATTAGCGAGAGTAATAAAGAACTTGTTCGTAAGACTAGCATAGCTCAAAAACGTAGCTCAAAAAGTACAGATTATTCCACTTTAAAAAAAAAATTTTTTTCTTTTTTTTTTTCTTTTAGTTCGAAATGTTCTTGTTAGCTTAACATACGTTCTGTGCCGTATGTACCACCGGTGGTACACGTTAAACTTGATCTTCAGGCCACGTGTACCACCATTTTATTTCAATAC